ATGAAATTCGAATTTGAGTGTCCATACCGAAAGTTTTATTGGAATCAGCCTCACTCATGCTTCTGTGTATTATCTGTGGCTGCTTCTGAGCTATCTGCAGAGTTGAGTGGTCATGACACAGACCACAGGGCCCAGAAGGCCTTAAATATTTAGTATCTGGCTCCTTACAGAAAAAGTTTGCCAACCCTCTATTTAATCAACATATTAATACAAATTTAATCTGTGATATTAATATTATAACAATATATAATTTATAGCACAATATAACACTAAATAATTACAAATGTAATGGGTTCATTAATGTTAACAGACTAAGTCATGCATAATATGATACTGTATCATAAATAATATCTAATAATGTTATAACACATGACGTAATAGGATCGCAGGAAACTGCCATTTCTGCAGGCCTTAAAGGGTTCAAAATTGGCAATTTCCTGTGAGTCGACCTGTGCATACCACAGCAGTGACTGTGAGTGAATGTTAGTATCAGGACCACACTTTCCTCCCCTACATCTGTCTCAGACCAAGTCCACGTTCTTAGGAACGATCCAGCTTTGATGTCACCTGGCATTCTCTAGTATGTGCTTCACTGGTTTGTTAACATGAATGGCTGCAGCACCTTGATTCATCGACTCCATTTTTGCACATGGTGAAACTTTACCAAGAATGGCAAAGCTTTGCCTATAAAACTCATTCTGTTAGGATAATGCATTTCCAGTTTCACAGGCTGGCTTTGGCTATCCTTCACTGCATCCCTCTGCATTTTTCTTAACCACAGGCAGCCCTTGGGAACTACTAGGGGGTTTGGGTGCCAGGAAGGGTTCCCTGTAACCCATAGGTCGGAGTTTCTCAAAAGTGGCACTACTGAACACTTTGGGGCCAGATAGCTATTGTTGGGGTGTGGAGGGGTGTCCCGTGCATTGTAGGATGTTTATCAGCATTCTTGGCCTTTGCCCAACAGATGCCAATAGTGTCCACACTCCCTGAATTGTGACAACCAGCAACATCTCCAAACACTGCCAAATGTCCTGGAGTAGGGATGAAGTGGGGCAACCCTCCCTACCCTCACCCACCCCTCTTTGAGAACCAACACTGCAGGTGCAGGATGGTGTCCAGAGGTAGTTCTCCTTCCTCAGAATTATTCATTAAATGACCAGGCCAAGACTACAGTGTTTACAGCAGCAAACCCAAAAGACAGCAAGAAAACAGCAGAGGCAAGAATTAAACATTTTAAAATTCGTAAGTTCTCAAATCAACTGACAAAATAACTCCAGGCTCAGAATGGCATGTGGCCTGTGTCCTCTTGTGTTCAGGCTGATAGAAAAACTTGATTGAGCCGAAACTTTGCTCTGAAAGGAAAGCTACCAGGGTGGATTAATCTGTTTTTGGAAGGGATCGGCCCTTGATCAACTTCCTCATATTTCAAGCCTGTTATTCCAGCAAGGAGAGCTAGTGTGTGTTCGTTTCTCTCTCTCTCTCTTTCTCTCTCTCTCTCTCACTGACTACAGTGTCCCACAGTATAGATATATCACAATTAACCCAATCATTCCCTGTAAGTGGGCCTTTCCTCCATCTATTTTCACTGAAATAAACACACACACACACACACACACACACACACACACACTCGCTCTCTCCCCCACCACCCTCTCCCCCCACCAATCTGCCCACTCCCTCCCACCCTCTAGTGGTTTTTTTATTGCTCTAACACATTTTAAAAAAATGACCTCTTCTGTAAATTTGAGGTGAATGTGATGAGGGGATATACTCCTCATAAGAGAGGTAATTAAAGTTTATAGAAACAACTGAAGTCTGCAGCAAATCTCTCCACTAATGAGGAAACCAGGAGTCTGACTTTCAAACAAACAGTCCTGTTAATCTTTTCAGAGCGAGTCAGACATGTGGGCAGGAAAAAAGTTGTAAACTGACAGTGCTTCTAGGGCTGCCCCTCCATGGCCACTCTCTGGTTTGTGCTGAAGCCAGACCGCACCTCATTCCACAGGGTTTGTCCCTGCCCGTTCACCGGGGCCATCTATGAGCAAGCCCTGTGTCACTTGTTTTTGCTCACATGGAGAGCTGTGACATGTTTGAGAGTTAACAGGAAGCTTTACTCTATTTTTCCAGTAAGATTTATATAGTCTAGGGAGAAGCCGAGGTAGGAGGAAAAGCATTAGGCAAATACAATCAATTTGTTTTCATCTGATGCAATACTCTGGACACAAATAAATGACTCCGCCCATTATTCCTCTTGCTTCATTTGCCCTGACATAAAAAGGTGAATCCACTGGAAAATGAATGAAAGGTCACCCTGTTTCACAGCAATGTCTGGACATGTTCTGTCAGTCTGTTCCAACTACTACGTGTAACCTGGTGATGGTACCAAGTTACCGGAATCGTGAGTCCATGGTTCGTCACGGACATAAATAATGGAATGATGTTATGGTCTCAGCTGTCAGGGGTAAAAAAAATAGTCGTTTCACTTGTGGGCAGAATATCTGAAAGATCTTAAATATTGCCCGTGATTCTTCTCCTGTCTACACAGTATCAGTGTCATACTACAAACGACCATTCATTTGGTCAAATTATCCTTTTATACACATTTTGATAATAAAACAACTTTGGCCCTTTAGATGTGCTTAGATTCAAATCACCTATTCAAATATTTGTTTTCATCTGTACGTCCAGTCTGATACCTCCCACCAAGCCTCACCAGTTACGCACAATCCACCCACCTGGCCCTACGTAGTTCATTTGTCCTTTCGGCTGGCCTGGTGCCCCTTAGTCAATACCAGTGTGGGCGGAGGTGCAGACCCCTGATGTGCATAAAGGGCTTTTAAAGAGTAGGAAATCTGGGGATTAGGAGGTTCAGGTATTTTAGTTGGAAATGTTTCCCCACCGATGGGGCTAAATATTTGCCGTGACAGCTCAGGTCTTCATTCTGCAGTTTGACACGGATGAAAGCGGCCCCACTCCGGGCCCCTCCCACTGCCCCCGAAGGATTAAACAGCCGAGCAGATAATGGCTGCCTTAAAAGGATCTTTTGCATGACTCAGAATAATGCGCGCTGTCTGTCGCCCACGTTGGCAGCTAAACATTAATTTTTTTAAAAAGAAAAAAGAAAAGAAAACCTCTAGATGACATCTCTTTTCAGACAAGGTGTGGAGTTTGTCTGCAAAGGAAAGAGAGAGGCAGACAGAGTGCAAGGCCCCCTTGCAGAAGGAAGCCCAGGTGGGGCTGGGGCCTGGGAGACAGGCAGAGCACGGGCTGGGGCCGGGGGCAGGGGTGTTAAAGGGAAAAGCAGTCACAGAACAGTGTTGGATTCTCAGAGCTGGTGGCCAGGCAGCCACTTTTATGTACCCGGACGCCCTCTTGCCCACAAGCAAATAGCATAGGAGCACACTTTTCAGGCCCATGCTTCAGGCTCGATTTCTCAGAGCGAGACCCGCTGAGCTGAAGGGCACCGGTGAAAGCTCATCTGGAATTGTCTCGCGTCCTCCCTCCAGGACTGCGGAGGATCGTTCTTGGGTGCTCAGACGGGACCCGCTTTGTATCTGTTTCACAGCCTCATGCCATAAAAACGTCCTTTCTTACTCCTTGGGTAATTGAAGTCTAAGTTATTCGGAAGTTAACTGTGACGTGGGATTTGGGAGTGCACGAGTTACTCATTCCTTTAAAAAAGAGTCACCCTTACATTTGAATACTGGTCAGTCGGAGCAGCTGACCCCTAGGGTTCTCAGATTATAAGGTGTCGGTCTTGGGTGCTGACCAAGTCAGAAGACTGACGTGATGAATTCCAAGGGACAGACCCACAACAGGGCATTTCCAGAGAAAACAGTGATTGTGTCAGATGTGGACCGCAGAGCAGCGCCCCTGAGAAGAATTAGTAAAAGCTTTGGGAATCAAACTGGTCCCGGGGGAACAGAACTTCTAAAACAACAAGCTGAACAAACGTCATAATCCCTGTGCTACTTCCTCAATTCTGTAGCCCAACAGGTGCCATGAAAATGTTGGCATTAATGGCCGAAAATAACATGAAAACTGATAACTAAGTTGGCTTTCCTATTTGACTGCTGTGTCTAAGAACACTTGAAGGCAGTGGTTCTCAACTTGGGGGCAGTTTTGGGCCTCGGGACATTTGACAATGTCTAGAGACAGTTTTTGGTTGTCAGACGATGGGGGGGGCGGGGTGCTACTGGCATCTAGCAGCCAGAGATGCTACCGATTGTCTTACAATGCACAGGACAGCTCCCACCACAAAGAACTACCTGGCCTCCAGTGCCAACGGTGCTACTGTTAGAAGCTGTGAGAAGAAGCTAAAGCATTTAGTGGAATCTCAAGTAATCACAATCGTCTGGATAACACAACATTTAAAATGCTAGACGTGTCCCCTTTGCCTCTTCGCCTGCCCCCTAATCTGCTATAATCTGATTCCAAGAGCGGAACAGCAAAAGCAGCTGCCCTGCCCCTAACACACATGCAGTGTGTCTACAGGCTCCGTAACGCGAAGTGCTCTGAATTGTTTTCACTTTGGACCAACTGCAATCTCAAAGCCCCAAACGGGGAGTTTCTTTTGCTTTCAACAAAGGAATTTTTCTCTGTAATTCCAGTTTCCTTGCCCACAAGGGAAGGCGAGTGCCAGGCCCAGAGGTCTCATGGGTTAAATGACTAATATTTAACGAGCTCTTATTAACGACAGTTATGCTGACCTCGACACCTGAGCTTTGCTCTGCTCCTCTAGCCTGGTATGAGCAGCTCTTTAATGGGAAATGTCTTATTTGGGGTGTATTTGCTTCCCATTCCACAGGTACCCCAGTGTGCTTGTTCACGTGACCTATGAAAGCGTGCCACCACCAGATGGACCAGTCCCGAGTTCTAGAAGCTGACTTCTTTGGCCTTTTAGATTATTAAGCATTTAGCTTAACCCCCAAATGCCCACAGAGTCCACTTCTCCAAGCCATTTCTGCCTCTGTATCCATGACCTCTGCCTCTGGGCATTATGGAAAATCAGTGCCTGGGTGGGACATAGAGATAGACGACCTTGTCTTTAGACCATGTTTTATCCACTTAAAAATCACTGCCAACCCCTTCACTAATCTCTCGAACCTTCCACTCTAGCTCGATCTCAGAGTGCATTTCCAAGCGGCTTACTTGAGAGTCGACTGGAAAGCTCTGCAGAGAGGGTGGTCATGCCGCTGGCCCGTCCAGGCGAGATGGGCGTTGCTGGGTGCACGGAGGGAGAGGCGATCGATCCCAGATACTGGTAGGACTGATCATAGGACCACGGTGGGGATGGCTGGATCTGCCTCGTGTCTGCAGAGAATCGGGCAAGTCAGTTATACGCGGGGAGGGGGGATTTTAAAAAAGTTAAACAAGTCTTGTATAAGGAACTAGTCACCTATCTGTGGTCCATTTACCAGTGTCTAATAAGCCTGCTCAAGTCCAGGCATTTGCTTTCGTTTGATGATTTCCCCCCAAAAGATACTGAAATATAGTTAGATTTTTGGAGATTTTCCTCCAATAACTGTTCCTTCCAAAGATTTTATTTAATTATGCAAACAATGACGAGAGGAGTTGATTATGCTTTCCAGGTAGAAGTGTTATGTTGGGACTGTTGAACCACAGCCCGTGCTGACTGCCCAGAGAAGCTCAGCTTTACCAATAATTACGGTTATTGCCGTCAGGAACATTTTATAAACTCAGGTGATCACCTGTCTCTCTGTACTCAGAAAAAAAGAAGAGAGTTTTGGTATTTTTTTGTACCTTTGGCAAAAACGTTCCATGGGCTATTAAATGTTTTCTACTAGGTGAAAATTCTCTCCCCAGGGATAATAGAAAAGAAAGTTTGGGTGAGAAACTAGGAAGGAGGCCTGGTGACTGGTTCGCAAACCCAGCAGTAGCGAACTGGCTGTATCACCCCAGACTAAGAGAAGTGCCCTCCGTCTTCTCAAGGCCTCAGGTGTGCAACTTGTCAGGGGCAGAATGTCGAGCAAGTATTTTATAGGTTGCCATTGAAAGAGGCCCGGATAAAGAAGAGACAGAAGTCTGACTTCAGAAGATTTAGGTAGAAAAGATTTTGTAAATTTGACTCCAGAATTCACAGGAGTCTTAGTTTTCAAAAGCGTCATGCTGTTACAGATGAAAAGGATGAGGAAAACTTCTATTTTTAGGCAAAATATGTAAGGAAATTTAAATTGAACTCTGTCCCACCACAAGATTTCTTTACGGGTTTTCTTTAGGATTAAATATTTTCTCTTTGTGTCCCACCTTCTTTGTGGACGAAGGTGGCAGCAAACTATGCTAACTCCTAAGAGTCTTCACAGCCAGGGCTTATGATACTGAGTGTAAATCTAGAAAGAACAAAGTTCCTTAGGAAAATACCGGGTGTAAGTGT